GCGTTGCAGCTCCGCAGTAAGGCATGTTGTTCACAACGCAAATTTTGTGGATGAAATTTCCGTACGAATCAAGTTTGTCCCCACACCTGGCGTCAGAGGACAGAGTGATGACTAATCCACATATAAGCAGAGGCCTCCACTCAGACATTGCAGTCAACATACCAGCCAAGGATGTGATCAAAACAGGCAGCGTGCCATCTACAAGTGAGTGAGAGAGCTATATTACCCTTTCTACTAACTACACAGCAAACTTCGAATACGTCAACAGCGCTAAAGCTACCAGGCAGAAACGGATTTGGATGTTGGTGTTTACAATGTAATGCCGTCAAGGTCTACTCCAATTTGTTGCGTGCATGTTGGCGTACTGTCTCAATTGGGATCAAATTAATTTGATAATAACGCCAATATTAGCGTCCTGAATAGTGGGCGCGGCCGAACTTTAATCATTTGGGCTGGGACTCCACCAAATCTGGAAATCATTTGCCAGCACAGAGTGTGTGCTGTGGCCTACCCCTCAAAGTGTTGCTGACTATATATTTTCACCTATTGCCACGTCGTTATTATTCATATTTCCATCTCAGTAAAGACAATTGCATGAACGCAAAAGGACAATCAGGGAACACCAATTTGGTGCTGCTGACAATGGCTACAATAATTCCGCTGTTTCATATTGCGCTTCCATTGCATGTTACCTTACTATTGTGCGCACAACCGTCGTTACGACCGTATGTTCTCATGCATCCGAATCGCACTCGTCAACGTGCACTGCACTTGAGTATTGGCTCCAAGGGGTCATAACCGCACCCTCGGTAGAAGCGTCATTAAAAGAAAAAATATCCCATGAAGCAGCGGAAATGTCTTAAAAATCATGGTATGATACCATACTTTTTTACAGCATCTACACAGGAATTATCAGAATTCGACAAATGGAGGGGAAAAGTGTGTCAGATGGCACAGAGTGCGCCAAAGAGATATTCTTGTGCTATCAAAACATGAATCGCAAATGGTGCCTGCGTTTCAGGCGCAAATTATTTTGTGAATCTCCTTACACTCCGGAGCAGCAGTCATTGTCCTCGCTACATGTCTTCCACTCGTCGATACAACAGCGCTTTCTCCAGTCAGGCGACGAGGAACTGGGGTCGCCGTACCCAAAGACACACGAATGGTCCTCCTGTAAATGCGATTCAAATACAGTTTGTTTAGTTTGGCTTTTCAATATGGAAACCTCATTGCCTCCAACTCATGAGCCGCTGAAACACGGCCACCGCAGTAGATGTAGATTGTCCAACGTGGTGACACAATCGACACGTGGCACATTGCGATGCATGAGTCTCATAATTGAGCACTAAATCATCAAATTGTTTTCAAATTTATCCGTATACATTGGTAAAAATGGAGCGCATTCATGGCACCTCATAGTAATTCCAATCGGAAGCTGTCCAAAGCACCAACTGTCTACAATATTCACCATTCTGACGACATTGTTCGCAGCAGCAGTGCACTCGAATCTGGGCAGTTTACCGAGCAGCATTCTTTCCCATCGTAAGGTGTCTCCTCGTGTAGGTCTGTCCCGCATATCTCTCCGAGCTTAGCGCATTCCTGAAAATCCACACATGGGCAATAAATGACGTGCCTACACCTACATCGCAATAAAGTTTCCGCATTAGTGTCTTTGGCCATACTTCGGCTGCAGTTCAATGTTCCTGTGTTTGCTTGGGCATTTATAAGGGTCGGAAGAAGTATATAATTCTGGAGCAAAGCGTAATCTGCAATGCAAATTGAATGCATATCCATGGACAGTACTTGTGACAACAGGAAATTCATTTGCCGGGCGAGATGGCCCAAAACCCCAGCTGCTATTTCACGATTCGTCTCATTTCAAGCCAGGGAATGCGCGACAATGGGCAACTTGAAACATATTAAATGCGGACCGACATTGGTGGGATTTCCGCCATGCGATCTCTCAGTGTGTCCCGCAAGCGCCGAGTGCGGCCATAATAGGCCCCCCTTCGGAATTGAATTGAAACAAATTTGACGCATCTCACCATATCGTCGACGACCTGGAGGATGCGATGCTGAAGAGATCCCAATCCTCTTTTCTCCACCTTGCACGACGCCAGAATTGCGGAAAAAAATGCAATAGAGAGATATCCTTTCATAGCGCACACATCATACGTGTTAGGAATTCAGAAGACCTGGAGCAGCCACAAGAATGGATCGCCATATACTGTTGCGAGGTTGCCGCCGTTCAGCATCTGTTTTCGACCAGAAAACCTGACAGGGTGTAATCTTGTGTGCACCATTGGACAACACAATATGTTATTGACGCTGCGTTAAAGCTTAGAATTACTGCCGATTGTAAATAACACACCTGGATACAGATAGTATAGAAATTAATCTCGAAAACGTGGCTGGTAATTGTCTCTCAACACGAAAGGAGGCATGCTGCAGTTTCTCCCTTTCTGAACAACAGATTGATGAAATTATTGTCAATACAACGATAGGCGAATCAACAGCGCAGCTTCAGAAGTGTTTAAGTGTCTTTTCCAAGAGTTCATGTAAAACGAGAAGCCGAGAAAACTTACCGCGGCACAGAAGATGCATCCTGCCTAAAGAAATCGGCATTCCACATCTGCGAATCTTGCGCATCGCCTCAATCTGCAATATGTGGCATGCAAACGTTACACACGAGGAAAAACGATTGCGCGAAATCACAACTTTGTGCAGACACAACAGTGTCCCAATTTAACATGTAATTTGAAATCTCCGACCGATACGCCATCTGAATTCATGCGCTGACCCCCCAATAGCTGTCAGAAGGTGTGACTGCAAACGGTTGGCGTCCATCGCCCCTCTGTACTCGCAGCTTCCGCCACAATGCACGTTCTATATTCGCAACGTGAATATTGCAAGAAACCAGCATATGTACCAAAGTACTGCGGTTTTCGCAGTCCTCATGAGTTAATATGCTCCAAGGAAATTGTGCAAAAGCATGATTGCGCAATGCATAAATAAAATCACTAAGTACTGACGCTTTCATTGTATTTCTTTTGTGACCGCTGTTTTAGATGCTCCAAGCCGCCAAAACAAGTTGCATTCTAGGGCCGCAGCAGCAAGCACGGGAGGCGAAGGGTCTCTTCAAACGAACCGCCACTTGCCCCTCCCAGAAACGCTCGATCACCAGCTCTCAAAAGTCGTTCCCGCAAGCATCAGTACGCCGCGTATGCAGGGCAAAACGCTAGCCTGACGTGGGGTCTGGCCAACTAAGGTGGCAAGGTCCACCCCAATCGTTCGAGAGCCTTGCTGACCCAATTTTCAGCAACCGAAAAGGCGTCGGGCCAGGTCTCTTGGTTTAATCTCAGATCACCCGGTATCAAGGACGGATGTAAGGCTGGCGCGATGCGTTTTGTTGGGTCAACAGACAGCGCGATGCCGCGCCTGTCGCCCGTTAGGAGGCGGTTGCCTCCACGGGTTGTACCGACAGTCAGGCGACTGTTGGTGAGCGGTCGGCATTTCAATTTGCAGAACAAATTGTGGGAATCCTGGTTGCATGCGCACGCACTGGGGCGACACGACGATCACGTAACATGTATCGTTGTGAATGTGTTGCCTGGGAATACCATGAAGTTGTCCGCTTCAGGGAGAGGGCGGAAAACTGCTCGGAGCGAAATGGGGCTGTGGGGCACCCGCGACTTGGAACGGGAATCCAAACAGTCGCATTGAATGGACAGCTGGTTCAGCGTGCAAAATGGGAAATGGCATTAGCTGCGGTTCCAAAAATGCATCTCAGCTTCTCCTGTGAAATTGTTTCACTCATCCAAAGCGCAGTACATCTCAAATTGACATCACTGCTACATTTCCGATATCACATTAAACGCATGGAAGCTGAAAGATTTTCTTACGATTTTGCAGCGTGGGGAAGTTGTTGCATGGAGGCCAGTCAGGAATGTGCAGTACACTGCAAAGTACGTTGTACATCAGATAGACACGCGTCGGATGAGTGTCACACTAACAGAGTCCAAAAGCCCACGTCATTGCGGACAATGCCGCACGATCCAGTGACGTGAATAGCCGCACTCTCCGTCGACTCCAGCATGATTCAAACCTGCAAGCTCGACGTGGAATCACTCCGTAATTGAGTTACAGCCTTTTTGGCATGGCATCCATACTTGCATCAAATTGTTCAACGAGACTTAACAGGCTGCTGATCAACAGAGTTCCCTGTGCTTCCTGTGCGTAGTTCCCAGCACATATTCAAAGGACGCTGCGAGCTGAGAATGGCTGAAAATTTGGACCATCAAGTGGCCACATTGTGATGTGATTAGCGTCAAATTGATGTTGGAGGGTCCAGATGCAGGTGACGCTAGAAAGTCCGACAACTGTTGCAAAATCGACGAAAGCTAGGAGAAAACCCAAAACCCGCTGATCATCGCAAACAAATCATGACTTCTTCGTAGACTTCCCTTGAAGCGCCGAATCTAGAAAGAGGCCCCCAGAATGTCATAATTGACAGATCGTAGTCTTTCCCTGAAGATTTCCTGATGTTGGGTCGCATTGTTGGGTCATGTTGCTGAGTCCATGCGTAAAGGTGGTGGTGGGTGGGCGGGGTGGAGGATGGGGCGCCGCGAAGCTTAGCAGCGTCAATGCGATGCTGATGGTATCAGAATCGACACAGTGCGGTCCCTTAGAGTGGGGACGACAAAGCCCACCTCGAAACCACCCCAAAGCCCACCCATTCGTGGAATTGTACCAACCTCGTTGCTCCAACTGGAATGTCCATAGCATTGCCAGTGGTAATTTAGTTCCCATTCGTCCAAGAGAAGGGCTCCAAGTGCACTGGCGTCTGCGGTTGGTTGTGACGAAGGGGACAAGAACACATTGCACAAATTTTAGACGATCTTGCTCATGGTGCTGTCGTACTCCCTTTATTTATTTAAAGGGGCACCTGGGGGCCTTAGAATGGCCACAGGAGAGCGAGCAAGTTCCATACAAGAGCATGCATGGTATATCGTACGCACCGGCACAACCCGATTAAGCTGGGCCTCATCGATACAGGCGGGGTTCCCTATTTTTTTTTTGTACGGCAGGGCCAGTCACCCACTGTGTGAACGAAAAGCTTGATGTGTGTCTGGCTACCTGGTACAAACAATGGGATGCTTCTTGCGAGCCAGCAGATCTCAACAAGGCTGGTTGTCCCCATGACAACAGAATGTCGGTGTCCTTGAGGTCGCTGAATGCCCCACGATCCATGGTAAATTGCAGTGGGTAGCGCTGTTGGCTCCCCTGTACTCTACGTGGACCTGTTCGTTGTTGACGCTCCTCGCGTGGTCTCCGTCTGGCCATCCTTCTGGCACTCTTTTGAACGGGAAGCTCGGATATCTTGAGGTGTGCAAGTGCACAACTGGTAGAGATTTGCACACTGAGGGGAAGCCTGCAAAGCGTCGTTGCCAGTAAAGTCCTTCAGTCGCTCGTCTCGTTGTGTCTTCTGTCTACCTTGTATGTCCACGACTCAATACAAGAAGGTGCAAGCAAGATTCTGTGTCAGATTCTCTGCACTTCGTGTTCGGAATGGGCACGGGATTGTTGGACAACAGATCCGAGTGCCACCCGTAGATTTGTGGAATGGGATTGTTGGGCTTCAAGTGTGGTGGGTTCCAATGCCGTGCTTGCATCTGACAGGTCCCCCTGGCAGCTCGCCATCTTGTTGGAGCCGCTGAGCTACCTCTCTTGCACAAAAGAGTGCTCATAACTGGTGGGTGCTTTCCGAATCTTGAATTCGAGCTGTTTTGCACTGTTTTGCTCAGGAAATGTGTGCAGGTCGCACCGAAGAACATGCACTGCACCAAAGGACATTGGCCTGGATGTCCGTTTCCTGCCTTCAAGTTCTAATGGAATATCAGTCTTACTTGTTTGCAATCTGTGTCACAGCACCAAGGCAGTATGCCACCAAACTTGCTGGTTTATTTGTTGAAGCGGGCGCACGGCCGTTGTGGGTTCCAGCAGTGGAAATAGTGGCCTTGCCGGAGGACAAGTGCAGACAGGTGCGGTAATCTTCATGGGTGACAACATTTGTCCGAATGTGACAAGAGACATTTTACCCATTGAATCGATGTACTGTGAGACAAAGCCCAACAGCACGAAGGTTGGGAACTTCCAAAGATCCCAGCATGCAAACGTCTGTGGGATGTTGCAGCCATGTCCATGACATGGTTCGTGTCAACAAAACATCAATCAACCAAGTGGATGCACAAAGTAAATGACCCACCTGCATCCATAGATCTCCAAGTGGGACCTTCATCGGGCCACCGTACACTTCGGCAGCATGTGAATTCAACTCTGGCCTTTGCCAGGTCTGATGGGTCTTGATCTGTGTGTGCAGCTAGATGGTTACCTGGCTGAACTGGAGACCTTCTCACACATAGCATTCACCTCAAAGAATGGCATTCGTGCTGTCCTGCAAAGATTATCTGTGATGCATGGAGGTGAGCATCTGCCTGACTATCAATAATTTCATTTTTGCCTCTGGCCCAAAATATGAATTGGCAAAGAGGCTGGAACCTGTTCCTGGGTCTCAGAGAGTGCCGTCTGACTGATGGCTGGCCCATTGCCGTTGTTGGATCTCAACAGGCATCGAACAAGCTGTGCATGTGATTCGTACAAGTGGGACCAGGCTGTGCGCTTTGGGTGTCGATGGTGATGAGCTCAGGGCAGCTGGAATGGAAGTGCACGTGGAGCCAGAGGAGGTGTGCAAGCTGTTGTGGGACCTGCAAGCCGATCGTGCAACCAAAAATGATTGCTTGGTGACTGACTTCAGAACTGCCCGTTTCTGAGGAGAATAGTCAATAGTGGCAGTGAAGTGTTGCCACAATGAATACAACATGGTCAACTCCTGTTGGGTGCCAGCGTTTCTTCATTTGCTCTACTGTCGATCACCAATCGTGGAGAATATCCGCTGCAGCGCATATTGAGCAGTGCCGACGAAAGTCACAGACAACCTTGATGGCACTGCCAACTCTTACTGCTGCAACGACCTGTGGAAGCTTTTCATCAGGCTGCATACGTATCTCATTTGCTGTTTGTTTGCTGTTCCTCTACGCAATAGGCGAGCACTCTTGGCTTGGTCCGTGAGCTGGTTGATAGGAGTGAAGCAAAGGGATCCCGGATTTTGTGCCCTGTTCCATGCGTGCAAGGTGAGTGTTCGTGTCTCTGCCATTGAGGAATGGTGCCAAGTGCTGTGCTCCTTGTGGGCTTCAGTTCCGTTCATATCTGGATTGCAGGCGGTTTGAAGGAGCCCCAAGTCGTTCCTAGATTTCTGAAGGCACTCGAAGATGCTGGGGCCAGCCCAGTGCGTGTCGATGCCTATGTGACTCAGGTGAAGGGGCTTGCACGGTGTCTGTATCATTGTGCCAGTTCACATCATACAAAATTTTAGGCCAAGCGCACAGTGACACGTGCAGAGGCATTGACCTTTGTCAAAGGCGTTAGGGACTTGCCTGGTGGGTGACTCCTTGTCTGCCTATTGTGAGGACGCTCGGCATTTCCTTTTGCTACTTTCGACACTCATGGGGACCGCTGCAACATCTCTCACAGTCTGGGGAATGCTGCACTGGAAGGTGGTATATGTGTGCCAAGAATATTTTGTGCTGGAGGGCTAGCCCATTCTCTGGCATGATGTCTTTTCTGTATCAATCATCGATTGGGGTTGGACTCTGAAGCAGTCGCTATTGTCACCAGGCTGGCTGTGATCCGTCAGACTGCTCCCATGAAGGAGAGCTCTTACGCAAAGGTGCAATAGACGCCATTGCCTTCAGCTCCACGGCAGAGGTGGGAAAACGAAACGGGCTCTCCTCCAGCCGCACCCAGTCTTGTTTCACCTTAATCCCGCTCCTTCATTTGGCCAGTACATCTCACTTGAATCTCCAAAATCACTCCACTTCAGCCAAACAGAAATGTAAAGTTGCAATGATTTGAGATTCCTGCCCAGTCGTTCCTATGCGTGGGGACCCGGCACATGGCCCTCCTTCCTTTTGATAGATCGCGGCTAATGCACAAGCTAATGGAGAAATGGGTGCCGACCATCTGCCATGCACACGGCTTTTCGCCAGAGAGTGTGCCAAGAGTACCCACGTGATTCACATGCTGACATCCGGCTGTTATCTCCGGAATTGCTACAAGGGATGGCCCCTGCGCTTGTTGTGCCCACTGTGCAGGCCCAGGGACTGGTCCATGAACTAGGACCTCTGGATGACATTCAGCATGCCATCAGAGATCATCATATTCTGCTGGCTGCTCATGGTCCCTACACTGCTGCTGGCGTGGAAGGTGTTCTGGCAATTCCTGTGACCTGCATTTCTCAAGACTTCTCTAGTTTCCATGGTTTGGTGAAAGCTGTGGAAACGGCAATCTCAGCTGGGTGATGGTGCTCGAGTCCTTGGTTGCCTTGTAAGAGGCGTCTCGGTGGCATGTGATGCATATGGGCGTCGTCCATGCATCGCTTCCAGGGTATTTCGCACATGGTCCTTTATTTCAACAAACAATGCAAGCGAACCGTCATAGTGGTGTATCAAACGTCAAGGTGCGACTTGTGCTGATATGGACACGGTAAACACCCACACATAGCAGTCATGAGGGAGTATTTGTTACCACAATTGGACTATGAGTGTCTGCAGGTATGGCAGGATGGAGCTCATAACTCGGTGCCCTGATGTGCCTTCCTGAGCAATGGCACCGCTGGTGTCTGCACAAGAGAAGCTGTTGGTGGGCCCACAGGTAAGAACTGGTTCATTGACTGCGGTTCAGGATCTGACCTTTGGACCAGGTTGCACCACAGCGATGCGACAACGCATCCTTTTGTTGCCGGCCGCTGCTCCTACGGGCCCAATGCCACAGGGCAGCAGTGCAAGATCTGTTGCTTGCATGCGATCGCAATTGCCAGAACATTTTCGATATATGTGCATGCGCCCTGAGAAGTAGCTGCAACAAAAATTCAATACACATCGATCCGGGGACACAAATAGTTGGGTTAAAGCTCCCAACTGGGCGCTGTCCCAAAGCCATCTTGTATCTAAGCAACCCTGCAGATAGTGCTCACACCGCCCACCAAACACTCGCACGTTCTGGTAGATATACACGTCGATCAAAACATGTCTAAAACAGCTTCATCCCAAGCAAAACGCCGGAAGCAAAACCCCCCACGTTGGGCAATCCCTGCGCAACCACAACGCAACCCTTGAGCACAGAGATTCCACAGCAATAGCACAGTAGCCACATGGGAGCACCTGCCACTCATTGTTGTTGAATGCCTTGATGACGACCCTTTCAAACACAGTGTTGCCGCGTTTGAAAAACCAAAAACAATGTAAACCAGACAGGGTGTTTGTTCCAATCTGGTTGACCACCCAAACCCCAAGGGGAATACTGTTGGTTGCATTGCTGCTCACCGCAGATGCTAGCACATGTATGGCACGCATTTGTTGCTGTGATATAGCATGCCCAGAATGGGTGAGATGCACACACGGAACATCGGGCGGCCATTCAGTACAATTTCATGACCGAACAGCTCCTGCCATCAAACTGTTCTTTCCGTTGCAGTAATGTGGCTTCCATTCCACTGTGAATGAATGCCAGAGGTGACACGTACTTCATATGCTAAAGTACACAGCAAAAGAATTCCTATTTATTCGGTCGTTTTGGAGTGGACAACAATGAAACATGAGTGAGCATGGTGCACCTTGCTGGCCAGCATCGCACCTGGGACAGTACACCCATTCCCCCTTCAAGGACATGCTGAGCATCCTTTTCTGTGATTATCCCATCTCCATCGACATCAAGGTAGGGCTTCAACTTCGACTCCACATTGTCCCATTTGACAACAATGAAGTCTTGCCAAACAAGAACCTATGCATGAAGCACAACGCTGTGATCCATATTGTTGGCGTAGCAAGAGCTGGATAATCAAAACCTGCTGACAGGGAGCTTCTTGCCCACAAAGGAAGTTCTTGCCGAGGCATTAGCCTGCTGCTGATGAGGTACAAGTTTCAAACGGGGAACAGGAGCAGCAGTTGTGACTGATTGTGCACTTGCGACAGGCGACACACCAGCAGCTATTTCACTGCATGACCCTTGATACAGCATCAAATATGATGCGACACTCCAGCCAGCAGAACTGCTGCACATGCAAACAACACCTGCTGCCCAGCAGATGGCATTGCATGGCACAGATGCTGGCAACTTAACAACCGATGAAACCCCAGATTATCCTTTCAAGGCCTGACAGCTGAGCTCAGGGTGGTGAGCGAGTGGTTGATGTGAGTGGAGGGCACAGGTACAGCATTGTGCTGAGAAGAACACTGTACTTGATAAACTACAGAAGACAGAATGCTGCGGCTAGGTTAAAACAATGACAAATTGCACATAAGATGCAGCACAAGCTCCAGTATTTTCCTTGATGTGGCATGCGATGCGATCACCACCAATAGTTTACACCGGGCCAACAAAGTGTTCACTGGGAAATGGGCAACACTTGGAAGTGAGTCCTTGATGAATTCATGATGTGATTGGTTGAGCACAGTGCCAGGCATTACTCTGACGATTAATCGGTATCAGTCTCAGTACAAACAAAGAATTGGTGGCAAAAGACAATAAGGATATAATGCCAATCCATTCAAATTCCAATAGCAGACTCTGTCGACCTTCTGCCCGTGTTACATTGCACCTGATAGCTGTTGTTGCAACCCCTTCCGTATTCGTTGAAGGGCCAGCCACCATGTGATAATGTTTACAAATTACCTGTGATGCAGCCACCGGTAACATCTTGACTATGGCCCTGTTTAGGCCAAGGGCAGTGGCGTTCAGATTTTCCGGTGTTGTGAGTAGGCAGCTTTTGAAAGCACAACAGGCACACCATTGCAACAGCGGGCTGTTCATCTGCATTTCCTGTCAGTGCAGCCATTTAGAATTGACGCTCGTTTGAAAATTTTCAATCCTGAAACATGTATAGTGTCTTGCAGGGACTGTACAGGGGCTGGGACCTTGTGCAAAATTTAGCAGGCAATTCAACCACACGAGCAACGATCCCGTTTCTAAACGTCCACTAGCAAGATACACAATTCTTTCTACCCTTGTTATCTGTTGATTGATCCTGGAAAATTGTCTCATTAGTTGACATAAACACAGCAATCTTGTTTGAGAATCAACAAACCTGGACGGCAATGATGACAACCCCTGCTGCGGCTGCTATTGTCCTTGAGACACGCTGCAGAGACACAAAGAACATCACACACCACCTGCCCGCGCGGCCAACTCCAAGGCTGATGAAATGAGTCAACAATAATTTAACATGCTGCGCTTCGTGGATTTCAGAGCATTCAATACAGCGTATCACTGGAAGCTGACCGCTAGTTTCCATTCACAGCAACTTGCCGTGCATTCGACCGTACCAGCCGAGGTCTCTCAGAAGGAGCACGAGCAACTCTGCAATGCAGATATGAAGGAATAATAATCGGAGCTGGCTGGATTACAGTGTTTCGCACTGACCTTCAATGCAGCTCCCACCGCAAGACCTGCCGCACCGCTCATGCCCATGTTCACCAAAATGGGCTGAAGCCAGGCAAGCGAGAACTGCTCCACATCGCGACTCTCGCGAGGCTCCACCTCGTCATCCTTCGCCCAAACTAATCTGCCAATCGCCAACACCACCAGCGCCAGCGAAACAGACCAACGAGCGCAAAGCCGCCAATGCAGCGCCTGCTGAAGACACAAAGCGAGTCGAGGTCGAAAACGCTGGACCTTGCAGCAGGTGATCCAGGCACCGAGCTCAGCTCCAAGTTGCTTTCGAGGTGGTCGTGTCTGCTATTGGGAACCGAACAGCAACGCTAGCATGCGTACCAAGTCCTCCAGAATCACAAAGGACAAGCAGACATAAGCGACGCGGTCCCAATCAAAATACAACCTCGGCCGCACTCCCACCCTTGCGCGCCCTCGCACGTCACAGCAGGTACCGCGTCCAACACGTGCTCATGACGACTGTGCCACGCACATGCCCTCTTCCATTGAACATGGCAGACCGCCGGCCGCTCACCATGCCGCTCCGCGCTTCGCCTTCCGCCCCGCGCGCTCCGCCAACGTCGCCGGAACTCAGTCCGAAGGTGTCGCGAGTGAGCGGGCTGCTGAATATGGGCGTGTGCACCTGCTGCACTGCGGTACATCGACTGGAGGGCGTGCCCACAGCGGACGATTCAACCGAAAATTCTGCAGAATGACCCCCAGTATCAGCATGACATGGGTCCGGGGCTGTCGCCGCGGTTGTGCAGCGAGGTGTCGCTGGACTGAAGCCACTCGCGGCCGGCCCTGGGAGCCGCGCGAGGTCGTCAGAGGGAGAAGGGCACCGATTGCCAATGGCGTCTGCCGAGGAGGAAAAGCAGAGCTCTTCGGGCTTGGAGTTCAAGCTGCATCCCGTGAGTGGCCAAGACGGGATTATTGGAATCCACTGCCGCGTCCAGATGGGGTTGGCGCCAGTTTGGCGCAATCAATGGCCGCTGTCTCTTGCTGGGAAGGCGCTGAAAGTTGTCGGCGATCTTCGTTCATTTGCTTCCAGAGATCTGCTGCTGTTCGCTGAGAGTTCATCATTGAATCTACCAATTTGTGTTTGTGCAGCTCGTGCTGATAAATGTCAGCGAACACCACACTCGGGTGAAGGCGAATCTGGAGCCCCACGTGACCGAAACGCCCCGTGTGCTTGGTTGCCTTCTCGGAGTTCAATCGGGCAGGAGTGTTGACCTCAGCAACTCCTTCGAAATTCCGTACCGACAGAGCCCAGAGGCGCCAGTCATCGATTGGGAATTCATGGAGAAGAGATTGGAGCAATGTGAGCCAAAATCTCCTGTGCTCTTGATTATAATTTGTGTTTCCTGTTGCGCTGATAGATGGTTTGCAGCCCCACAGGCACACCAATGCCACACGTCCATTTGGCCAAAACTGCAACCGTATCCTTAACAGGGTTCATGCTGTGGACTTCTGTGCATGAGAGTTTGGCTGCAGCACCCCTGGCACTGCAGAGAAAACTCTGTGCTGCGTGGCAACGGTTGAATCCTCAATTTGTGTTGTTTTGTGGCTTTGCTGCAGATAAAGATGTGTTTCCCAAGCTGGAACTGGTTGGCTGGTATTCAACGGGAAGCGAATTGAGAGAAGCGGACATGGTGATACACAGGAGGGTGAGTGAGTTCTAGCCTGCTGTGGTTATGATGCCTGCAGGACTAAGATAACGTCCAAAGTATTAGGATCAGCGATGGCCTGGTCTCTGAGAATAGCCCCCAAAACGCTCAACGCCCAACAGGCCACTCTATTTCACTATTTCCTTGTCCTTTCTGGTGTCCCAGATATGTCTGCCTCTACTGCAGGCCCTATTCCTCAACTTTGCCTTCCTCGTCTGTGACCAACCAACCTGGTCTTGTTTTGTCTGCAATGCCTGCTGCCTATTCGTCGGTGGCCCTGTTCCCCCTGCAGGCACCAGACGCGAATGTTGACGCTTCCTCCTGCTGGGATGTGGAACACAGGTCATGGAAAAGACTGAGAGCCCAGTGTTTTTGATGCTCAATCCTGCTGTGGACCCCACAAGGAAAGATATTCCTGTCACCTTGTATGAAACAGGTGGGGTGGGGTGAGACAGTTGAGCTTGCAACAAAACCTTGACTTAGTGAGTCAAATGAGCACCTGTGCACCCATGTTGAGTTTCCAGTTGTATGCACTTGTATTTCTCCATTCCTCTGTTGGCCTCCAGCCTCCCTTCACGTGACCTCCATGATTCCTTAAATTGCGTAGATGCGGTTTGATTATGGACTGCACAAGTCCATGCGTATCGGTTGACACCAGTTTAGGGATATCACACTAGTCAGAAAGGTTGTCTGGGATTCACATGCGAACAATCTAGGCACCAGTCAATGTGGGCCCTGTGTGTATGGATGAAATCAAAAGCAGTTGCCTGCACAATGTCTGTTGTCCAACGCTCCCATGCATTTCCCTTGTGTTGACAAATAATTAGTCCTGTGCGGTGTTGCTACTGGATTGGATACAAGGCAGCATTGATGCAATCATCAAAACACTACTGTAGCATGGCAAATCAAGAACAGATGTCTGGGTGTGTTGTGGTTGTTGCTTATGTGCTATAAGTGTTTCATGTGTTCCACAGAACTACATGTCATTGATGGGAACCCATCGTTCATCTTTGTGAGGGCCAGCTACACCATTGAGGTGTGGCTCTTTTGTCAGACGGCCATTTGTCAGTGACTCCCACAATTCCCCTCCCCCATTGGGCTGCATTGCATTGACATCGGCTACAGTGTTGGCTACAGTTCGTGTTGAGCGGCGCAAATGTCATCCTTTCTGTTTGACACATGCCCTAAGCAGTGTGGATTTCATGAGGTCTGCAAGGACACACTCCATTCATTCTGTATGGTTAGATTTCACATTCCTAGCCGATGGCAGGGAGCAGCACAGTGTCCAATAATCTCGTTGAATTGATTGACGTTCCCTGCATGCCACGTGCAGCAACACAACAGCCAAGCCATGTGTGGTGCGTTTCGCTCATGGGTGCATCAAGCTGAACCAAGAAATATGTAGACCCCATGGAGCTTTGCTTTGTTCAGGTGGTATGCACCCGGTTCGTTGACCTGTCTGCCTTGGTCATGTTACGTTGTAGACCTCAGAAGCAGAGAGGATTGGCGTGGATCAGGTTGCCAAAATTCTCCCATCTGGAAAGGCTTCGGGATCGGATCAGCGTGAGTTGAAGGTCCACTGCTTTCTAGCTGCCTGGCTGCTTGTGTGTATCTCAGCTAAAATGTCCCAATATTTGACATATAGTGGGTGCAGAAATTTCCCAGCTTTCTCTTTGCACGGACCTTGTAAACATCGATGTGTGCTGTGCTTGTTGACTACTGCAACAAACACTGAATATTGTGTGGCAGACAATGAGCATGAGAGCATTGCGAATTGGATGAAAAGCATGTTCAGGAGATTTACAGTTCTTGTGTGGCCAGTTCTGTCATGTGGTGAGGATTCTCAGATGTGCTGGAGAACTTAGGGCAGAGTTCTCCTTTGTTTTCCCCAAGCTGTGTTGGCACAGTTCCCATAGGCTTCCTGGTGGCAGTCCCTGTGGCCAAGCACTTCATTTACGTAAAGTATAGTGAGCAACAGGAGTGAAGTGGTGCAGTCAGTTTCTGCTATGGAATCAGCTTTGCCTTTCTTCATCTGTATGGATCTTGAGCATGCGATCGTGCAGAATACTCAGGACAATTGCCATCCCAAGAACATTGTCTCATGAGCAGGGTTTCCTTGACAACGAGTGAGGATCAACTGTGGTGTAGAATGGAGCATATGAGACAGATAAGCGGTGGCAAGTATGCAGCAAACTGCTGCAGAGTTTGATCCCCCACCCCACCCCGAAAACTGCTCTGAGGTTGAATATATGTGACTGCCATGCAGTGACTGCTCACTTGGTTGGAATGCACTCGGCCATCAAAATGCTGAACACACGACTACGTGTAGTGTACAGCTTGCTTGAGAAAATGTCCAATGGTGAGTTGGGCTGTTAGTCATGTGGCCAGCCTTGATCGCCTTTACACCACAGAGATTGTTGCTGTTGGAGAGTGTATTGAAACTGCCAGAGATTGATTTGTGTTTTGATATTTCAATACATAACACCATGCATGTACTGCAAGACAGTGTCTCACGGTTGAAATCACTGTCTTGGGTATTGGGGTGTCTGATGTGTGGACTCCTGCAATTCGTGGCATGACACCTAGGTACACAGTGTGTACAACACATCGCTGTGGCATTCCCCACTTGTCTGGAAATACCACACCACCATATCTCAGCTATGTCGGCAACCAAAGATTCTATCTTGTGAAGTGGTGCCAGATAGTCATTGATGATGGGGCTAACACACGATGCTGTCGACTTGTTTGCAGAAGAAATGCCACTGGACCACAGCTTGCTGCGCAAAATCTCGAGCCTCGTGCATCAACTCCCAGTGATGGATGCATCCTCCTTCCAACACAGCTTTCTTGAGGTGACACTGCCATGTCAGGCTGTTGGGAGACAAGTGATATGGTTGTCATGTTGCTTGCGGTGGAGCTAGCTTCATGGAAGTGCGTTTGCCAGGACTTGTGGGATGTGAACACAGCTGCAAGCAACGTAGTTGTCGAGGTGTGCCTCAAAGAGGCAGAGCATGTTCCTAGCTGCAACGAAGTCGTGTTGAGGCATCCAATGGCATAGCTTCGATGTTTGAAAATGGGAGTGTCCTTCGATGAGTATGTAGAGGTGCGCATCAAAGCCCAACAGTGTCAAATCGCCATGCCAGTAGTGGTGCAACCAACAAACGAATATACACGTTGATATCAGTTCTTGCAGCTCAGTTCTCTGCGGTGGCATGTGCACTCCATGGCCCGAAGACAGTACCTAAGTACACTCGTCTCTTTATTGTCCTGACCAGGAAACAGTGCACAACAAGAAGCGGGTCTATTGTGAGGTTTCGTTGTGTGTTTTGCAGGAATACAACGATGCTCTGCTGACAATTCACATGGCAAGCATCACGAAAGGCACACACACAATCAACGAGATCGTCGAGAAGTGCATGGTTGCGCTGGACAAACCGAGACGCAAATTTTCGCACCTGATGTGAGGCACACAAGCGGCTGACACAACGAGGACGATGGTGCATGTCCTCTGGCTTCCGTTTCTTTCCGCACTCGACGACATTCTTGTTTGGCATTGTAAATGGATTGCTGTCCCATCACCCTGCTGAGCGCGGTTGCAATTCCCATGCTCACACGCTCCTGCACATTGCCACGGGGTGTGCGCTCCATTCACATATCTTGGGGAAATTGGCATGTCCAGGATATTCTGACCATATTGCCGCCCCTATCACCTCTGTATCCGGGATATCGTGGACATCCTGGATACCCAGGATACCCCCCCATATCCATTCGACTTCGAAGATTGTCTTCAGGACAATGCCCTGATATCCCCGTATTGTATGGGAATGTTCTCCGACGTGCTCTGCTGGCATGCACCAACAAAAGCTGTCAGTTGTCGGGATAGGACGAAGGCGTACATAGGATGGACCCTAAGGGCCATCAGTCTCTGAGATGTGCACATTAGGTGCCCCAGAGCCACGAATGGTTGATTTCATTAGGAATCAACGGCCTGTACCATTGACCCTTAATCACCGTGCCTCCATTGCTGAACCTTCGCAGCCCTTTTTCTCGCAGAGTTTCTCCAGTCTCAAGGCAGCAATTTGCCCATGATTTGCATGCACTGCGTCTGGTCTAGGTGTTCATCGCCTTGGCAAGTTGAGCTCTTGCGTTTGTCGTTTGCCATTGAAAAGTTCCAAGGCAATGGGTCTTTAATCCCGACTTTGTGCCAGCAGCAGCACCATCGAGATTCCCAAACTTCCGCTTCACAACTTCCACAACCCCAGGAAGTGACTTCAGGCATGACAAGAAAAGCTTCATGGACTTCGAAGACTTTTCTGCCATTCTGTCATAGGCGTTGGTCCCATCATCATTCATTTTCAGTGCCTCGTTTGTGTTCTTTCAGAGGCCCATTTTGTTGTTGTTTTCTTACTTGTTCCCCGCACAGCGGTACCACACTTCTTCCGCAGATGCATGCACCCGACTTCATAAACAAATTATGCAAATACAATTTTCCAGACCACTGCAAATCAGCCCCCCCTAATAGCGCCCCCGGCCCCCAACAGCACCCCCTTTTCCGGTTTGTCACCATTTTTGTAGTACTTTATGCAGCTTCGCTGCGCAATGGGACCTCAAGTTACTATGGCACACAGCCAAACACACCCAAGAGAGGTGTCCAGTGGACGGATGGCACAATGGCCGTCCGTTTCTGCGAGCTTGGCATATCACGGATGGGCGAATGGCACGTCCAGTGCGTCCGCTATGGGGCACGGGCCCAAGGCCTCTCCAAGAGGCCAAGGGAGGTGTACGTTCCATGGCAGATCTCCATCTATGCACAGGGAAGTGGGCACTGCCCGCCTGGGCTCATTGCAGCCAGCGGAATGGAGGGGTAGGGACGGTTTTGCCCAATGCCGCGGCGTCCATTGTTTCTCTCTCATCATCATCATGCAAATCTATCTCCATGTCCCTGCCAGAATCCTCATCACTGCTAGAAATTCTATCTTCTATGAAATCCGGGTCACAGGGGCTTCCATCATCGTAGTCGCCCTCATCGTGATCAAAAAAGCTCTTGATCGGTTCCTTTGGCATCATAGCCGATTTCCGCACCGTGCGTTTTGATGCTCGCACTGGCTAATAGGTTGTGCAGTAGCGCCTCAAACAACAACCTCCCCCTGGCAAATCCTTGCCACACGAGTAGGATTCGCACCATGCATGCATATGGACGTTGCAGCCAAGGCAACTTTGAATGCCACTGACCCCAGCACTAATTTGGCAGGCTGGGCACACCAGTCGTGCAACCATCGCACGCCCGTGATGATCACAGCAGTGCCGCCATGTTGCTGTGCCGCCACATCGCCACGCCACCATGTTGCCACGCTGCCACCCCACCACGCCGCCACGCTGCCATGCTGCCACCCCACCACGCTGCCACCTTGCCATGCTGCCACACCGCCACGCTACCACAAGGCCATGCTGCTGTGCCGGCACACTGCCACTTAACACCATCGACAGGCGTCGCCACAGTGCCGGCACGTCATTACATAAGGCCATATTGACTAAAATTACAACTAAATGCATTAAAACAAAGTTAAAACAATAGCGCCCCCCTTGTGGCCATGTCGGGGGGGGGGGGGGGGGGGGGCGCTATACGTTACTGCATGGCAATTGGTCGATGATCTTCTGGTGAACAAAGGGTGGGGAGGAGGCCAGTGCGCTGCCATTTCGCATAGTTGTAAACGAGCGCGACGTCTCCTCACAGGGACGCACAACGCAGAGCAATATGGAGAGCATACCTGGGCAACGAGGGCTGGCTGGCTTTAGTTTTTGTCCACTGCATCAGGTCGCTCCTAACTTCCGGGAAAAACTTAGTGAAGCCAGCATCAGTAGCCTTCTTCTTGGTCCCCGCAATCACTTACTCCTACTAACCTGCCCATCATCTGCTCCCCACAGTCCACAGTGGTCACGGGGCGGTACAAATGCCCACTGAGCTTAGTCACAAGGCGATCGGATTCTGGGCACCAAAACCCAGCTGGTCAGCATGCCTTCCAGCCTGGCTTTGAATATCCTTCCAACGAGCCGGGGTTCCATCTCGCGCGCGTTCGTGGCGACCCGCGCGAGGTGCACTCAATTGTTCCTTGTTGACCTTTGCCATGTTCAGGCAATTGTCGCGCTTGCTCTGAATTGATTCCAACCCGGAGCCGTTATCCACCTCAATGCCATCGCTGGCCTCCGTGGGGCTAGCCAAGCAGCATAGGGCGCAGCATACTCCACGCCGTCCAGACCGTGCAGAAACCGTGTATCAACTGTGCAGCAATATATTGTTCCCTTTCCCCTGCAAGATACACGGTTGCTGCATGTTGCAACCAGAACTGATTCATCATGACCAGTAGCTGGACGCATTAAGAGCTGATGAGACAATAGGAACTGAATTAAGGGCAGTGATGAATGGACCGGATATACAAGGGACGGAATTCCTGCTGTCCCTTGGCTCCGTTGTAAAACATTTCCTGTACTCGAGCCTGATATCCCCACTGAAGGGTCGCCTCTGTCAACAACATATCAGACCTGGCAAAATGCCATGGATTGCTGCTTTGACGGGTTGAACAGTAGCGCAAACGTTTGCGCTGTTAACAGGGAAGGCAATTGGCATGCCACGGACTTACCTATATAATGGGCCCCCAAACAGTTTGTGGACCCCAATAGCGCCCAAACGCATAGGCACAGCTTGGGACCACATTTGAATACCAACGGAAGTTGTGATAGAGGAGCAAGGCATCAAATTCACACAGGACAGTTGTTTTGAGATAAAGTAGAATGCTATCGACTTGCAGTTTTCTTTGGTCACTCACACAGCTAAGGTACAAACCTGTGATTTTTATGAGGTATGCTTGGTATAATCCTCTAGGCTGAAAGAGTATGCATTATTTTGCGATCTATACACTGGTAGTACACACATAGTGTACAGTTCATTGTACAATGTAGAAAGATTACACACTATTGGAAACTGTGTACATAGGAAAGACACACATCGAACACATTAGTACACAATTCATTTTCGGTAGTCGAAATATACACACTGTATGAAAACGTGTACACACTTTAGACACGGATGGTACACACTTAGTACACAATTCATGGTGAAGGCTCAGAAGAAGACACACTTTACAAACCGTGTTACACGTTTTTGGTTATAACTACACACTTTTTGGACACTACCAAATACCTTAACAATAGTACACGGTTTAGTACACAGTATGTTTTGGCACTACACAGTACACGTTTTCGCAGACCGTGTCATCTGGCCTGTTTTTTCCTAGTGAAAGCGTGTTCCCGCATTCCCTCTCGTCTTACCCCATCCACTCCGGCGGTTGATCTCCCAATTCAGTGCCGCCCCAGTCGTCTTCTGGGGTCTTTGACAGTGCCGGCGCAAAGCCCTCCCCCCTTGCTCTAATTCACAAAAGCCTGCAACGCACCCCGTGCGCACCGCCCTGCACCTCACACAACATCGTGAGGGGCGTTAGTGCTCCTCGCGCGGCAGCCGGCAACAGCCGACGGCGCTCATCCCAAGGCCTCAATCCCACGTGTCGCGGGCACTGCATCCCTTTCCACCGGGTCTTGTCCCGGGTCCAGTACTGGAACAACCCATCAAGGCCCACGACGGCAGGCCGCGCAAACCTGGCAAGCGTCACATGACCGTCACCCGCGGTGCAGTGGCCCGCCGGCTCCAACGGCCTCCCGCACACGTGCCCCATGTTTGCGCCCCATGTTTGGCGCATTGCAACACCCCCTCCGCCCTCCGCCAAATCCCCAGCAGCACCTGCGGCCCGACGGGGCACTGGGGGCGGAGGGGGGGGCCGATTTTTCCGACCTGCGGCCGGCGCGTTCGATGCGTATCGGTTCTCTCGCTGAGCGCCCCCCCTGAGAGCCCGCGCCGCGCTCTGGGCCG